TAGAAAAGAATCTTTATTAAAGTCACAGATCTCCAGAAACAGAAGCTGCCAACATTCCTCTGATCTACAACCATGACCTCTTCCTCCTCTTCCTCCTCTTCCTCCTCCTCCCCCTCTCCCTCCTCCTCCCCCTCTCCCTCCTCACTCCATGAACTCTTTTACTTTGGTCCACGTCCCCTCTGCTAACATGGAGGAGGTTTATGAACTTTACTGAAGCCACCAGGGGGAGGTAGAGGTGACTTGGCTTCACTTTTAGGAGTCATGTCGTCCATCTTTACTTACAGTCTGTGATAGAAAAACAAACAATGGGACCTACTCCCCCTGGTGGACGAAATGAAAAGGGAGGGGGCTGAATGTGCGAGATTTGTTTCACAGGCGACAAATGAAGCGAATCCCGTCGTGGTCGTCGTGGTCGTCGTGGTCGTCTTATGTTATATGTGTGTACATCAGGTGGTTACGTGAAGATAAACGTGTCCTTTCACTGTGACACGCTAGAACACCCAATGACCTTCTGTGCTTTTATTTTGAAGTGAGTTCCTGCTGTCTGTGGGAATCAGGGCAGAACATGAGTCAGCATCCATCTGCAGGACGTCCTGAAACCAGACGCCCGCTGGACTCTGGGATCAGGACCAGGAGGAGAATTAGGGGCACTTTAAGATATAGTCTGGTCCAGCTTGGTTCTGAATGACTGGAGCTCACGTCCGACTGAAACCGAGAGCTGTGGGACAGTCGAGTAACAGGAAGCCAGAGAGACTCCAGAAACAGAGGAAGGCTCCACGGACGTCCGACACAAACATCCTCCAACTGTCAGTAAACTCAGACGTTCAGTCTGAGCCACAGACAGGAAGTCGAACATCAGTTTGTTAACGTGATGAGAGGAAACGACACCGACGGTTCAAAGATCTCAAGATGGTTCAGAGTGAAACTCACCTGGACAAAGTTTCATTCATAAAAAAGTCACACACACACACACACACACACACAACCTGTGTCAGTGTGTCAGTGTCTGTGTGTGTGTGTGTGTCAGTGTGTCAGTGTGTGTGTGTGTGTGTGTGTCAGTGTGTGTGTCAGTGTGTGTGTGTGTCAGTTAACCTCTGAGGACCTCAGGTCACTTTTCTCAGAGAAACTTTATCCGACTCTTTCTTCCACAACATCGACCTGCGCCACAGGTAACGTGACTCCGCCTCCTCCCACACACCTGGAAGCTGCTGTTAGAATCAAATGTTCAAATAAAACTTTATTTCTAAAGTTTAACATTTGACACGAACACAGATCAGATTCAGGAACCTGCTGTAGTTTA